GAAACACCCATTATATCTCTACCATTTAGTCTACACCCTAAAATAACAAGAAAAAAACACACTGTAGAGCCCACTACAGTATAGTCTGTCTCAATCTTTATCGTGTTGGCTTTAGACGCACGAGTGACAATCCAGGGGTGGGCCAGATATATTTCTTTCTTTCTGATATATTTCTTGTGTTGACCATTTGTGAGAGTGTTGAATAATCGTTTTTACTGTACGGTTTGAAAAAGTTATTTCACGAGAATATAACAATCTCTCATCGAAATCATTTGCAAAGCAGGTTGTGAAAAATGTGTATGAAACTTTAAATGGTAGAGGACTGATTATACAAGAAGTTTTAAAAGAAACTTTGCAAGTAGTGACGAACTAATAGAAAGTAAAGTATGTTGTCTTCATCTAAGCGAAGTTGTGCCTACATGGATAAATTGAAAAAGAAGCTAGAAGAAGATGAAACATAATACACAAAATAGAGCAAAGGCAAGTAGTAATGGAGTCACACACATTACGTACTTCGAGATGTTAAGAAATTAAAAGATATAGATCAGACAACAGATCCATAATTTACCTCGATAAACACGATACTGTATCCAAAGGATTCGAACTCAAATGAAGAAAAACCATAATACACGCTGGGTCAGAAGACGAATTTCTACCAAACTGCTTGCAAAGAATATTAAGGATTCTAGCTTGGATTTTCACGATACAAGTGCCGAATTTTTTGAAAGTTGGTTTCAACAAAATCTTTTAAAAAATATTCCCAATAACAGTGTTGTTGTTATGGATAACGCAAGCTACCACAGCCACCTGCTACGCAAAGCACCTGCCTCATCAAGTTTTTGTTTATTTTGGTGTTGATAATTTTATTAAATTACACTAAGAAAAAACAGCGACAACACTGTGTCACTTTAAAACAGTTCGCGATGGCGATTTGAAATTTGCAAGGGTTAAATTTTTATTTAATTTTTCAAAATTGTGTCTAGCAGGCTGTGGCCATCATAAATACTATTTACCGGGTCACCTGATCATGGGAAAAATTGTAAATGAAACATTTCTTTACTTGCTAATGGCAAATAGCATTTAATGTAATGAACTATTTTTTTGAGGATAACTTAGTTTTTTCAAATAGCCTAGTGGGAACAAAAACTTTTTAAAGCAGGCATTTTTATGCAAACATTTTGACACCAAAATTTTTAAAGTCCGTTAAAGAAATAAACTCACAGGAAAGAAAAAACCAGATAAGTATAAAAGCAAAATATTACTTAGGTGGCTTTGGTTCTATTCATCATCTAGTCGGCATGATTGAAAATTCTGACAGTTTTATCTGGTTATCGATTTTGTCGTGTTATCGATTTGGATTATCATGGAAAACAATAATCAATTTACAAATGGAGAAAAAGTTGATGTGTTTCTGATATACGGGGAATGCAAAAAAAACTAGAATTAGACATCTCAAGAGAATCGGTGACGAAAATTAAAAAAAAAAACACGGTTAACATTCTTTTAAGTATGTGTAACCTTCATTAACATCTTCATGAAGCTGACTTTGTAAGAAGACTTCGATATTGTAATTGGCTGTTAGATAAACATGACGACAATATTAATAAGCTTGTCGAGGTTTCTTCTGCATTTTTAACCTTACCGACTTGACAGTTAGTAATAAATAGAAGCAAAGCCACCTAAGTAATATTTTGTTTTTATTAAAATTTATTTACTTATTTGGTTTTTTCCTTCCTGTGAGCTTATTTTTTAAAGGATTTTCAAAATTTTGGGGCCAAAATGTTGTAAAAAAGTACCGGTGTTTCTCATCCTAAAATGCAAAAAGATATAAGTTGTGCCTATTAAAATATTGTCAAAATATTGGACATTCAACCTACATTAATCCTTCCAAATTTCAAATCGCTATCTCAAGCCGTTTAAAAGTTATAGAGTGTTCCGTCTTTATTGTGTCACCCGGTATATTTAATGTCATTGTTTTTTCTTAGTGTAATTTAATAAGATACCAAATAACACATCAAAATAAGCAAAAAAAAAAAAAATCATAATCAAAACCTTTGAGAGTCCGTCCCTAATGTTCCATCCTTTAATATCTACCGGAACTGAGTCGGCAGGTAACTTCCATGAATGCGGGCAAAAGGCAGCACGTTGAAGATTGAGACTGCACTTGGAATTTCGAATCTGCTCTATGGAACTAAAATACCCTGCCTATATTCACTCCAAAAAACTGCAGGACACAAGGAAATCTTCCAAGATCGTCTCCAAACAATGGATGCCATTACCGCATCTTTTTCACTTTCGACATCGGCCGCGGGTCTTGTAAACGAGAGCCCATAAAATAAATAACTTCTTTTTGAATCGCAAAACGACTTTTTAGCCGCCGCGTCGCGGAAGCAGCGTCCTTTCTCGGAAAATTAAAAATAAAAAATGGGGGACCGGGAAATGTTTCGTTCTCCCGCTTTTCAATATGAAACTCGGGAAAATTAAACGCCAACGCGGAAATACTAATGACGTTTCTGTTGATGCGGTTTCATGTACCAATCAACATTAACAAAATAAAAAGGGCCATTTCTCCCACATCCCAATCCTAGTGCTTTTACGAGGGTTGTTAGATTCGTAGCGCCGCTACGATCTACGCATACGGGGGACCACAGCTACGAAGAATGAAGCAATACAATTTTTTTCCTTGTTGCAGAACAATTGTTGTTTTTTTTTAATTCTTGCAGGGTCGTAGACATATGTCATACCAACAGTTGCTTAATAATTAAAACTTTGAAATAGTTGCCGGGTCAATAACGTATATAGAAATTAGAGTTTTCCATTAGGGCGGCCTCGTTTGCAAACACTGGAGCAAGCAAAATAAACTGTCATTTCCATTTTAATCGGGACACCGATCAACAATTTAATTCCGGGGCAAATACTGAAAATTCCCGGGAAAAAGGTACGCTGTGTAAACGCGAGCCGCGAATTTTGGTGAATATTGCCCCGTATGCGGTTAAATCCCTCTTTTTGGAGCCGAAATTTTGTACTGCCGGCGGAAAACGTGATTGAAAATACGGCAAACAAAAAGGTTAATTGAAAAGCGAGAGGAACTGTGTTTTTTGAAAATATATTTTTTTAATGTTTATTATTACATTCTTTTTATTATATTTAGTAATGTTAGGTTATTTGTAAACAAAACAAAGAGATCCTGATAATTGCCGTTTTCGTGGGAGTTTCAACTTTCATCTATCATACAGAGTGCGCCAGATACTTGAACAATTATTATTGGGAATCGCTATTATTTGTAGAAACTTTTGAATTGACCAGACTTTGCCGTAAGTTTGGAGTTCGCCGAAATGTGAGAGATTTTGCGAAAGTTGGTGGTTGGTGGTGCGCAGGTGCACGATAGAAAAACAGTGCGTTCTTTTCTTCTTCTTTTGTTAATAAAAAACTGAACTTGCCCCGCCCAATGACGATTTTTCGAAATCGATATTGTTTAATCAGTGCCCTGCTAATTAAAGTGTCATACGCATTTTTGGCAAACACGATGAAGCTTGAGGCAGACTATACCAAAAGAATTGGGATCTAGATGGTAAAGACATACTATTAATTATCAATTTGTACTGAAATCAGCAACCAGATATCCGGGAAAAGGTGTTAGACAAGGCATTTTATCACCGACGCTGTTCAATCTCTACAGGTAAATGAAACAAGCACGAGATTAATATAAAAATTAACTAAAGGTGCGGTAATGAGTAGGACTGATATTCCGCTTATCAGAATACGAGTAAATGAGCAGAATATTGAAAAAGTGACGCAACTTAAATATCTGGGATGTATGTTAAATCAAAATTAGGATCCAGGACATTAGATTAGCAATCAAGAGCAACACTCCATAGAGTACATTAAAAGCAAATTCTATGAATCAATTAGAATCACTTGGAATATGGTGTCTGCGAAGAATGCTGAGAATATCGGGGGTAGACGGCATATGAAATGAAGGAATTCTTCTTCGAAGATCACGACCTTTACGAACTAATAAAGCATAGAAAAATATCCTACTTGGAACATATAAGGGGAGAATGATATAAATTCCGGCGCCCTATCGATCGAAGGAGGAAAAAGGGGGATAAGAAGAAACTCTGGTGGTTGCGAAATATAGGGCAAGAAGTCATCTCCTTTTGGCATATGTTCTTGTAATCTATTCACCATTTTATTACGCTTTCCATTATTGTTACCATATTGAAATTTCTAAATCCAATTCTGAAAAGAAAAATAACGATATTTTTAGGAATTGGGCAAAAAGAAATAATGATAACTTGTTGGAAGAGCTATTTCTGGAAAAAAAGTTTACTTTACCATTTTGATAGCTGGCAGGCGAAAATTGACAATTTTGCTTTCTTAACTCTCTGGCTTGAATTCAGTTTTCTTTAGGCAATTATTGAAACGAAAAATATGGAAAGTATTTCCCTTCAATTTTACAGTATTCGTCAAGTGCTCAATCACGACTAATTCGCGAGAAGGATTTTAAGTGAACAAAAAAATCTTTATCTTGCTAAACAAAAATTCCAAGAAACTCAAAATTTGCAAGTTATAAACTCTAAAAAAGACGTTTAATACAATGTGAACATATTTTTGAGTGGCTGTACGTGTTCTGCCCGAGAATGCGACTGTCCCTGTAGATATCCAGGTACAGGTTTACACCGCATCCGCGTTATTAATCAAATCGAATTAGTCCATATCGAACCGCCTCCCGACAAATTAAACGACTGATCAGATCAATTAGTCTCGGTCAGTTTACCCGCACGAATTTAAACAAACCTTCCTAAATTTTCTGTGGGTAGCGGGGGAACGCAGGTGAACGCCATGTGCACCACATTGAGTAAAGACGGGAGCGATGAGGCGGGAAATTTGAAAAGTTCGATGAGCTTTCGATGACGCGAACCCTTGCTGCTCAAAGAACCACGACGACGTCACTATTTTTTTTTTGTTCTTAAACGCCGATACAGCCGGATACTTACTTATTGTACAGGACTATGTCGGGCCTCCAGATGTGATCGGATGGAACGTGAAGCATGTGAACTCCTCCGTATTCCTTGGGCTCCCATCTGAGCTTGTAGTCGTACCAAGACTGAAAAGGAGCAGGAACGAACCTTGACATTTTAACACATAGAGCTACTAGTAGAAGAGACGGCAGATGCATAAATAAAGGGAGCAAATACAGTGGAGTTCGGATATAGTAACAACGTTTATTGTGAACACTCGGTTATAATGAACATTTTTTGAAATACACTCAAAAAGTCTCATAAGACAAATGCAAATTTTTACTGCTTATAGTCAACCCGGATATAGTGAACTAAATTTCGTTAAGATATGTTTTCCGTTTTTAATGAACTTGCACATTGTTTATGTTATTCTTTTGATCTCAGTTGTGATTTTGATTATATTAAGAATATTGATGACAGACCTTCAAATGGAGAAGCAAAAACGAAAAGCATTAACTATGAAAGTAATTACGATGTTATATAAAAGTGGTATAAAACAAAGTGATATTCGTGTGAAATAAATTTGTCTAAAGCAACTGTCTCCATTACCTTGTAAAAAAAAGATAGGATTCTCTCGGCTTATGGTCAAGTGGATGCAAGTTGTAAAAGGCTCAGAAAATCTGCTCACGAAGTGGTCAATAAGGGACCCAAAAAAGAAAAGAAAATGTTCCCATAAGTGGTCCAGTTCTTCAGCAAAAAGCAAGTGAAATGGGAAATAGAATAGAAAAAAGGGATTTTGTGTGTCCCAAAAGTCGGATTGAACGTTTTAAGAAGAGAAATTGTATTTCAGTAGGAAAAATTGTTGATGATTCTGATGACAATATTTTTAACGCCGATGAGACCGGCCTTTTTTACAAACTAACCCCTGATAAGACATTGAAACTCCAAGGAGAAAGGTGTGCAGATGGAAAATTGTCCAAGGTTCGAATAAGAGTTCTGGTTACTGCAAGCAAGATGTTTTAAAAACGACCCTACCAGTCAAGGACACGTCAAACAGCAAAGCGCGGATGACATCTGACTTATTTACTGAATAGCTGCTCCAATGAGATACAGAATTGAAGAAGAAGAACAGAAAAATTATTCTTCTAGTAGATAATTGTTCAGCACATTAAACTGGTTTTTATGCGACCCAATACCAGTTCAAAACTCCCTTTGCCAGTTCAAATTCCCTGTGTCACTGCAATTGATGATAGGCAGGAGTTTCCAGTGAGCTTATTGGATGCTGTAAGTTTTATCCACCGTGCTTCGCAGGAAGTTAGCAAAAACACTATTGCAAACTGTTACAAACATGCAGGATTCTTAGAAGCAGGACATCCCGAAAATACCGACACCCAGAAAGCCCTTGAAGCAGAGATTGGGAATTGGATTGAACATTTCGACTTCGAAAGTTACGTTCCAATAGACGATCAAGAATTGAGTGAAGATGAGCTGAACGAGGAGGCTATTGAGAAAATGGCCATGAACAATGTTCCTTCAATAAAAGACGTGCCGGAAAAAATAATAGGGATTCGCACATTTTTGGAGTCAAATTCCTGAAGAAGTTTGGATTTTTTTCTGTAACCTCGAAAGCTATATAAGTAATATTAACTTTTCTAATAGGCTCGTACAAACCGAAATGTCCGATTTGTTTATTCAAGAGTTGGCGCTCGCGCTCCGAAAACACTTCGAGCACTCGGAGCGCGAGCATTGAAGATGCCAAGTGACATTTTGGCGAAACGTCTGCAGGATTCCAGTCGGAGTTCAACAAGCGAACGGATGATATCCCGGAATATAGTGTCACCACATTTTTCCATCCGTGAATCAATACGTGAATATATATATATATATATATATATATATATATATATATATATATATATATATATATATATATATATATATATATATATATATATATATATATATATATATATATATATATATATATATATATATATATATATATATATATATATATATATATATATATATATATATATATATATATATATATATATATATATATATATATATATATATATATATATATATATATATATATATTCTTCATTTATTGCTTATAGTAAACCTCGGATACAGCGAACCAATTTTAATACAACTTTTCAATTCACTATATCCGGACCTCACTGTAGATGTTTATTGTCGTTTGCTCTACCAGCCAACGTCGCAACAAATGGCAATTAAAACTGTCATGCGTCTCTATCGTTTGTTTTTATCTTGAATGTTTAGGTGTTTCGGACTTTTATTGTTACATGTTGGTCCCTTGTAATGTATCATTTAATTCCGTGTACATTTTATTAACTATCTAGCCGGTAAGACAAGTTTTGGTGCTGGGTTCGTGGTTGTAAGAATGATAATAAGCTTGTTAAAATGTTTAAATGTTTTTATTGAACATTTCGCGTTCCTATTTTCACGGGTTTATTATTATAAAATTCTAGGGAAGAGATCGCTAGAAGACTTTTGAAATTCTTATGCTGTAGACCGTTTTGGTTGAAACTATGTTGTTTAAATTTTTAAACAAACGACTTTAAACATTAAATTGTTATTGAAAATGGTTTTTCTATCCATTGCAGCTCAATTTATCGTTTCTCAGCAAGGATCTCGCCATTTGTAGCGCGACATGATGACAATGAAATAACAGTAGACATAGTAACAGTAACAGACAACTCACAAACTTACCTGCTCTACCCACAGATTGGTGGTCATTATTTGGTTTTTCAAATTCTGCAACAAAATGAATAAGTTAGAAATAATATGTGAGGAATAACGATTAACAGCTATCCAGATAGCAGAGGCTCGTCCAAGTGACGTCATTTTTGAGTCACAAGTGGTCGCTTCTCGTCAGTGGTCCGAAAAACACATCAAATTGACGTTATTTTATTTTTATTAACATAACAAAAATAACCTCAACATTGTTTTGTTGTGCTGTGATAATATCTTGGTTGGGTAAATATACCTAGTAACACTGGTCATAGTTGTTTCATAGTTATACTTAATTCTTTATAAAATGATACAAATGTTTTTAAAATCTTAGATATGCTTCTGGTTTTGTCTTACGGGTGCGTTTTTTTTATCCTTTATTAGACTATGTTCATTTCTTTATTGATATTATAGTGCCAATTAATAACTTTTTTAAATGAAGCGGTCATCTTTATTCTTTAATTTATTAATTAATAATTCTCCATTTTCTGCAACAGTAAAAGACGTTCCATCTAATTTGAGCTGCAGCTTTTGTGTGATTTCCTTTCGACTTTCGCCACTCCAAAAAGAAAAATCGTCATATTTTTCGGCAGTAATAACCAAAATCTGACTTTAAATTGACGTAAAAAAGACGTCACTCAAATGACAAAAAGTGACGACTGAAGTTGACGTAAATAAGACGTCACTTAAATGACAAAAATTGACTACATTAATTTTCGTAAAAAAGACGTCACTTCTGTCACATTAGTCATCAAATTCATTTAACGATCAGTTAATAACATCTGAAACCTGTAGGGCAGTTAGACTAAGAAGGCAATGAAACACAGTCCAGAGTGGCGCGTATTGCAAAAAATATATATCTTACAGCTAGAAAAAAATGCCGTCCGGATGAGAAATTTCCGACTCACCCCCCCCCCCCCAACGACGGGAATAATCTCGAAATTAGATGCCGTCCCGGCCTAGGAACAGACTAGCGGGGGCGGGTCATAAATCCCGCTTTATCAGCGGCGTAACAGACAGGAAAAATTTCACGGGGTAAAAATAACATTTGTCCGGAATTTCGGCTAATTAAATGGCTGCCGGACCATATTTTCGCCCATGCCGGGACCTTAGCGCCGCACGCGGAGGAAACATTAATTTATTTAAAATATTCCGGTAACTTTGGCGAATGATTTATGCTGTTTCCGGGGTAGTTTACTGTTTGTGCGCGGCTGTACGCGACGGCGCCGCCATGACGCCTTCCGAAAGCGACAAGAACAAGGGCAGCACGATCTTTTTTCTCGAAAATTGCACTTTATAATTTTTTATTTTAAAATTGTTTAGAAATGTATTGTATTATTATTACATTAACTATCAACAGGCTTTTATTAAGTATAACAACACCTCGAGTGCATTCTGCCATCCAGGGGCGCCAACCACAGACGTCAAATGTTACTACACAAAACATAAGCAAAAGAATAGAGTGCAGAATATATTCTACAAGACGCGGTGTTCTGATCACCACATATTTATTTAATTCGTTGAGTTTTATATACAAATATATAACATGAAACGCCTATTAAATTATAATATGATATCTATTTACTTAAATATTAACTAGGTAATGTTTAATTGATGCAAATTGGTGGATAATTTTATCAAAATTAATTTAAACTAACCAAATTTATTTTAGGTATTTAATAATAAACTATTGTTTATAAACAATAGTTGACCATTGCAATTTGGACTTTTTTATTAAATGCATTCGGTTTTTCAACCATTTAATAATAACGGCCCTAGATACAAGAAACTGTTTACCATTAATTATATTCTTCCTCAAGATCCAATATGTTTTCCAGTCTCTGGGGTCATTTACGTTAAAGCTTGGTCGAGCTTGATAAAGTTGAAAAACGATTGAATAACAGTAAGTTATAAGTAAGTAATTACAAACACAAGATGGAATAGAAATAACTTCAAAGCTTCGACGGATAAAAAAAAACTGACAGCAAACTTCGATTTCACCAACCCCCACAAATGAACCAATAGCCAACTGGGAAAACAGCCATTACGAATCAATTACCTATATAAGTTTTTGTATTGCTTTCCTCAGTTTAAGCTTTCTAATGTGTTTTTAATATAGGAAATCGACCTACCTAATGAGCAAATTCAACTTCACTAATTTGACTTAATATAACAGGTTATTCAAAGAAAATTTCCTTACTCTTAAAATAGAACAGTCCGCACGGCACACTAACCTCTTAAATACGGCCCGGGCTTGTGATACACGTCTTTAAGTCATTCCGAAGTGAAAACCGATAAAGGTTGTAAAAACGATATATCGTTCGGCGAACTCTACTATTAATGTATTTGCTTTGCCAACTGACAATTGCCCTAAGTGAAAAACATTGCGTTTACGCTGCATGTAGTCTCGATCAAGGCATACCGTTAGTGGCCAAGCTTGTCAACATCGTTAAATTAAAGAAATGTCAAACTGTTAGCGATTATTATTAACTTGCGACTAAAAGAAAGGTTTTATTTTCGATAGTTATGAATAGAAAGTGTTTTGTAATTAAAAGAAAATAAAAATTGCCTCCGTCTGGATTATTTATTATTTTGTAATTTTTTCGAACAAAAATTTTGTTTTTTTTTTTAATTTTCATTTCCCTGTTTTAGTTCAAACCATTATAACGGATTTTATCGAGCGGAACTACCGGGGTTAATGGGTCGACGAAGAGCTGTAGCTACCCCGGAAATCTTCGCGGATAAAATTTGTATCCGCGTTCTACTTAAACCCGCTTGGAGCTCGCGACATTTTTTGAACTAACACAATTATCCATTTTTCAAACTTGCGACGTAATAAAAATCCAAGAAAGTAACTTTTTCATTACGTTGCTGTTGGGACGTTTTGTTGCTCGTCGACGAGTTCAAAAAATAATACCGAATCGCATCGCTCGCGTTGAGCGATGAGATCGGCTTCATTTGACAGTTGACGGATTAAAACCGTAACCCAGCTAACCCAGTTTCTTACAAAAACGGCCTTTCATTCATCAAGTCTAGTATCGGAAATTTAATAAAAATATTGTTAATACACAAAAAGAGCCAGTAACGCCGTCCTTAACTTATACAAATGCTCTCAAGCTCTTATTCCTGCTAGAGTGACAAGGCAAGGGTGGGCCAGCTTTATTTCTATCTTTCTGATATATTTCTCGAGTGTTGACCATTTGTGGCAGTGCTGAACAATCGTTTTTACAGTGTGTTTGGAAAAAGTTATTCTACGAGAACATAACAATGTCCCTTATTGCAAAACAGGTTGTGAAAAATGTGTATGATACTTTAATCAATATTCAATCAATATTCAAATATTCATCCAGAAGCTTTGCAAGAAACCTATCTACTTACAAAAATGCCAATATCGTCGATAAAGGATATTATTAATAGTGGAGATTTGAAGAAGTGGAATAAACGGAACTAATAAAAATTCAAATATATTGTCTTCATAAAAGCGAAGTTGTTCTTACCTTGAATAAACTAAAAAAAAGGCTACATAAATCCTATTATAATTATCTCAATGACGACTCTGATAGTGAAAAATGTAATTATGTTTAAATACTCCTAGCTATGAATTTATTGTATATATTTAATGTAATTGTTTTTCTTAGTATAATTTAATAAGATTAAACCCACCTAAATAAACAAAAAAATATATATTATTACCAAAACCTTCGCGAGTCCGTCCCTAATGTTCTGTCTTTTAATACCTACAGGACCCCAGTGTTATTGCCGTCGGCAGGTAACTTCCATAATGGCAGGCAAAAGCCAGCACGATGCAGATTGAGGCAGACTATCTATAAGTTATCATACGCTACAAAGAAGGAGCTGGAACGGTTAAACATTGGTGAATGAATCAATGAAATCAAACCCATGAAATAATATTCCTAAAATATGTAATAAAAAATTATTGGGTAGTCTTTCCGACAGAAATGTAACAGTAACAGCGACATGAATTTAAAATGTTTGGGAATAGTGAAAATGGTCATCTTTTCCGGAATCACTCTTTAGAATATTGTAGTTAAATATCCATATGCATTAAGTAGACAACTATTCTGGGTTTTTTTTAAATTTTAATCCAGAATTAGTAAGAAGAAACGAGAGAGAGCAAGAGAGAGAAGAGAGAGAGAGAGAGAGAGAGAGAGAGAGAGAGAAAATGAGAGCTTTTGAGTAATCTTTCTATAGAATATTGTATTTAAATAATTTCCGTATACATTAAGCAGGCATCTGTTCTGTGTTTTTTTTTAATTTTCACTGCCCGAAACATAACAATAATTGCCTTAACTTATCAAAAATTGCTAAGAATAAGCGAGAGAGAGAGAGAGAGAGAGAGAGAGAGAGAGAGAGAGAGAGAGAGAGAGAGATATGCTTTTGGGTAGTCTTTCTATTTTGAATATTGTAGTTAAATTTCCGTATGCATTAAGTAGACATCGGTTCTGTGCTTTTTTTTAACTTTTACTACAAAAAATATAACAATAATTATCAAGAATTGCTGCGTTTTTTTATGGCAGTGGAGGGATATACATTTTGATGGTAATGGTATTCAGTTCAGCCCTTTTGTATTTTAATTAGCTACATACAAGTAAACGTAGTTAAGGTAATGAATAAATTGCAATTTTGACTAGTACTCACTGCAATTTATATTGCATCATTTTCATTCGCTTAAATCAGTGTCCAGCGACAATTTAAATAAATACGGTATAAACGGCGCCATATGTGATGGCTTATTTGTTTACCTTAGTATTTCTAAAGACGCATTTTTTCCGTTAGCTGAAAAAAAACTCAAATTTAAATATCGATTGCTCGAAGAGAATGTTCTTAAGGTGTCGGTGCCTGTGAGGGTCCTCGAAAGAAACTTCTTCATCTGTGACGTAATAATCGATTCTGCGAAGCGGTGCCAGCCTATTACGTCGGGCACAGGCCATAACGTTCTACCATCGCGATATTTCGAAACGAAAAAGCAAAAAACGTGCCACCCCGTTGTTGCCGAGAAACGCAAATGAAAACCTAAGAAGGTGTCAGTTTTTTCGCCTTAAGGGGAATGAGATATCTGATATAAACTAATATATACTAACCACGTCAATCAGTTGGGACAGTTTCAACTTGATGCATACCCGCAACACATCCGACGTGTTCACCACAGGTCTGACAAGTTTATTGTAGTTGCTAAGTAGGTCGTCGTAAAGCCTTTTCGCGTCCGGGTTACCAGCTACGACGCCGTGTCGCACCAGCGCCCCAAGTACCCACGTTCGCAGTACCGTCGTCCACAACCACGTCGGGAAAGGCATTGTTATGGACGAGTCGCGACGCCTACCGCGCCGTTCGAGCAGCCTGCCGCAACCGCACTGACGGCCGTCGTTGCGAGAAGAGCCCGAGGTGTCTGCCAGCTTCGGAGAGCGCCTGTGGCGTCTCGATGCTGGACCTCCGACCGAATTCCAGGCCGAAAGTTGCAACAATATCCGGTGATCGCTCGACCCGCATCTTTTTTCGACGTTTTTTCGCCCGAATACGAAAATAAACAGCTAGAAGCACTGTGTCTGACTTTCAACTTAATTGATTACAGATTCGAAGCGTTTTTAATCCGAAATCTGCGCGTTTTCATTCGCAAGACGACGAATACGCGGATTTAAAAGTCCCGCTCCGCGTTCACGTTCGCCATCTGCCATCAAAGGACGTAACTTCGACGTCGGCTTGAAACTCAACCGATATTAGCCTCAGTGCCACCTATCGGAAGCAATCTCGTCTAAAACAAAAGTTGCAATCTTTAAGAAGGGTGTATCCGCTGGGCGACCCTTTTTTGCGTGCGCACGGTTGGCGACATTGTTCTGTCATTTCTTTTTCGCCGCGAGTTAGATTCGTCAACATGGGTGAGTGTCGAACGTCCGACGTTCTTTTGCGAATTTCCTTTGTAGATAGTGAAGTTTCCCCGTATTAAGTTGGGTATGGGCGCCGTAAATTACCCGTCGGTTTGCATTGAGGATTAAGTTTTGGCCTAGCGTTACTCAGTTTACGAAATTCGCGACGTTTGTTTGGGTGCAATGCCCTGGCCGGAACGAGGGGTGGAACCTAATCCTCGTTCATCCGCGAAAATCGATAACTATTTGCGCGTTTTTTTGGCTCGTCGCGTCCGTCGGCCGTATATTTTCGTTTCCAACACGATATTTTTGCGTGATAATTGTTTTCGTTGTTAGGTAAGCCCCGTGGCCTTAGAACAGCCAGGAAGCACGTAAACCACCGTCGGGATCAACGATGGGCGGACAAGGATTACAAAAAGGCACATTTGGGAACCAGATGGAAGGCCAATCCTTTCGGAGGAGCGTCTCACGCAAAAGGGATCGTTCTCGAAAAAGTGTAAGCGTTTAGGTTATGTATCCGCGTTCCAAGATGCACCAAACCGCAATAAACGTACTAATTTTATGTCGACGTTTTTTGAATATTTGGTGCTAAATAAAGGCCGGGCTCTGAACCATTGGGTAGTCCAATTAATGGATTAACCACTCTGATATGTGCTCAACATGGTTAGTTTGCTCCTGTTTTGCGCAGAATTTCCTTGTGAATGGTGTGTAATTAGCAGTCAATCACAGGAGAATTCTGTGCGCGGCGGCAGCTATATTCTTCAATCCCTCTCGATTATTTTATATATTTGCGAAATTGGTCAGCGCGTAAATTTTAGAGAAGTTTGGCAATGTTTTCAGAGGAGTTGAAGCTAAGCAGCCAAACTCCGCCATCAGAAAGTGCGTTAGGGTACAATTAATTAAGAATGGTAAAAAAATCACGGCGTTCGTGCCAAGGGATGGTTGCCTGAACCATATTGAAGAAAACGACGAAGTTTTGGTCGCTGGTTTCGGACGTAAAGGTCACGCCGTCGGTGATATTCCCGGAGTAAGATTTAAGGTATAATTTTCTGTCATACCGCGTTATGGTAGTAGATTCTTATGATGAAAATGTTAAGAGCCAATCCTATGATTGTTTTAATGATTTTTTCTAACATCTATAACTGAGATATACTTTTTATTTTCCCGTTATTTGGTGCTTTCGATTTGATTTTAGGCTTTGTTTTTTTTTCAGGTTGTCAAAGTAGCTAATGTCTCCTTGTTAGCTTTGTATAAAGAAAAGAAGGAAAGGCCGCGTTCGTAATTTTTAACTTGTAATTTGTGTTTGTATTTGAATAAATGCAAGCTTATATTTGTTTCTGTGTTTTATTTTGATAAATACAATTAATCCATAAGGTGCAGATTTACCAATGGTGTCTGTCTGTCTCAAATCAGTGAGTAATTAAAGAGTGCCTTCTGCAATATATAAGCGATGGGTTGAATGAAATTTAAGGCAGTTTCCTAGACATTTGTCACTTCTAAAACCAAAGTTCCAAAAATGGGGTTTTCCGATTATCGCGCTGTCATGGAATAAAATATCTTTCGACTTCAGGTCTTAAATGTAAAGGAAGAAGATAAAGGTTATGTTTGCGTTTTCACCCATAAATTTGAAAAAATGGAAATTTTGGGCGCAGAAGAATTAAAAAACGTTTGCCGGACGTGTTTATCTCGCTTAAAACTAAAACCCACAGACGCAAAATCTGTACGCGAAGACGGAATAATTGGCTTGTTAAATTTTTGCTGCCCCATTATAGAGGTTTTTAGACATCCCTATCTTGTTAGGATTTCCTGTTCCCAATTTTTCGTATTTTAGTGTTCCATCAATGACGAATTTCCAGATCTCATATGCGGCAAGTGTGAGGTTCAACTGAAAAGCGCTTGTCAATTTATTAATAAAGTATTAGAAACCGACAAAACAATTAGGTTGGTTTTGCAGAACTCTGTTAACCCGGATTCCCAAATCAATACCAAAGGCAAAGACTCCGTGGATGTCGTACAAGATGGCAACGAAAATCCTTCCCGAAGGAAAAGAAAAATAAACATTTCAAAAAACCATTTAGGCTGCTGTCAAGAACAATATCAAATTAAGACCCAACTGAAAGCTCACTTGAGGGGTCACGGCGTGGTCGATAGAAATTACACATGTCTCGAGTGTCACAAAAAGTATACATCTCAATATGAACTCGATATTCACTCTAGGAAACACAGCGGCTCTCGACCGTTTCGGTGTGCAGTCTGCGAGAAAACATTCCTTGATCGTAGTGGTTTGAACAAGCACAGCAAAATTCATACAGGTTCGTGTAAAGATTTCTCGTACTTTTGTAGTAGTGACCGTTTTAGGGGAGAAAAAGTTTCAGTGCCAAGTTTGCCACAAACGCTTTTTGCATTCATTTACTCTGAAAACGCATGCAAGAATACACAGCGGAGACAAGCCTTTTGTATGTGAAACTTGCGGAAACGCTTTTAACACCGCAACTCAACTAAAAATCCATAATCGGACCCATACAAAGGAAAAACCCTATTTATGCGGCCAATGTCCAAGGGTTAGTAAACATAGATTATCGAATTTGGTTAGTCTTCTTCATCTTGTTTCCATGGGTCGTCTGTCCTGGTGTTCTATAGACGATTTTATTCAATTGTTGTGTTCATTGCCCATAGATAAAATTTGTTTTTGTCTATTTGTCCCAAGTTTTTAAATATAATTATTAATATAAAATCTTTGGTGGTATTTGAATATGTCGGATCGACAATAAAATCGTGAAAACATGGATATAAGAATTACCTACTTGGCTTGTGGCTAATTTTTCGCAAGTTCATATTTCCTATAGACTTTTGCGAGCGGATCCGCTTTATCCAGTCATCAACTTACGCACTCGGGAGAGCGAAAGTTCGTATGTAGTTTTTGCGAGAAAGGATGCCGCACTCGCTTCGACTTGAAAACGCATTTACGAAGCCACACTGGAGAACGGCCGTTCGAATGCAAGTATCCAAATTGCGATAAGAAATACAAGTCGCACAGCCAACTGAGTGCGCATGTCAGGACTCACACCGGTACTTTCTTCTTTGAAAAGTGTTTTAGTATTGTTCCTACTCCAACAGTTTTAATTTTAAGGCGAAAGAAAACATCAATGTACAGTGTGTCTGAAGAGGTTTGCAGAGGCTTCCAGTCTCAAGCGACACGTCGTTACCCACAGTGGAAAAACTGGGTTTGAGAAGTGAATCGGAGGTACTCAAAAAGCCAGGTTAGTCTAGTTTTTACTGTATAATTGTGGATGTATAGCTTGTGCTCGGTTGTGGTTGAAGTTGGAGGAAGAATAAAGTTACTACTTATATCCAACATACATTCATTTATTTGTGCGATATATAAACATTTCTTTTTCCATGGTGTACATCAAGTTTGTCGTATGTTTATAACAAATTGTCATTTAAGTTCGACAGATCAAGTTACCTTTTTGGAGTTTTAAGAGGTACACATATGTATATACAGAACTTTGTGATATCCTCTATAGGATCAGTACAGTCATAATCAATTTGAACATACACTGACCACTGAAAATTTAAATTCCATTGATTTCCATATGCATATGTATGCTGCTTTAATTATATCAAGACTTGGAATGAATCTTAACATTTTAATTGGTTATAACTTTTTTGTTTTTAAATGTATCAAGGTAAACACAAAACAGTAGCCAAGTTTTTTTCCAAGTGACGTATAAAACAAAACATATAAGCTGTAACACACTTTATATTTTCGTCCACTCGTTTTTGACAAATCCGCAAAAATAAGAAATTTTTATAACAAAACAAATAAAATTATGTTTATGTTTGACGTATTAGTGAACAACACTGATGGTTGAATTATTGTCCAAGTCATCATGGTTAAAATGTTTTTTCGCGAATTTGGAATTTAGAATAGTTAAAGAATTTTTTAGTTTAGTCTGTCTTGTCATTTTTAGTTTTTTTTTTGTTCTACTTTGATTTGTAAATAATTATTGTTGCTGCGGTCAGTCACGGCACTCTTTGAAATCAAGTGTCCTATTTTTTCCGATTTGTCAACAACGAGTGCACTAAAATATAAGTCTGTTACATCATTGTAATCGGAATAAGATATTCTATTAAACACATATATAATATACATTTAAAAAATATGATGTAGGCTTATTTATCAGAAAAACTAACCTTACATTTTGTTTTTGTTTACCTTGATATCTCTAAAAACAAAAAAGTTACAGCCAATTAAAATGTTATCAAGATAAATTGAACGCACGGTACAGTAGGATCCGCCGTTTGCTTGAAATAGCAAATAACCGATATAATATTTCATAGAATGCTTTGGAAGATTTCGACAATCGATTTTCAGCTGTTGGTAATTCTCAACGAAATTTACAGGGAGCACATTAAAAGTCAGATATTTATTTAATTATTTTACAACTCTATTTCGTTCTTATAAACATTTTAACTTGGAGTTTATGACACTGCTCTTTAATTATTATTTACCCAGTTCAACCATTTCTTTCTTACACTGCACCTTTTAGGTCGGAGATTCGTGGACAACATTAAGTCGGCTATTCCAAAATTTTTGGATTTTGACAATGATCTTTCCATGAGCACATGCGAACTCAAAGATTTTTTGAGATTGTACCATATGTATATACGCCGTATGATAACAACAAACATTTAAAGCTTATTTATTCGATAACATTACCCTCGATGTCGATTTAAGTACATATTTTTCTGCCCGCGCGGGGGCGGCATCAGAAGTTTTTTTCTTATTTAGAGAAATTATTTATTTGGGAAACATTAAGGAGAGTGAAAGTCCCGCCCCAAACGCGCCAACTTCGTTGAGACGTCAGCGTAAGGCGCTTGCGCGTTCGTTTTTCAATCCAATTTTCTTCGGCCCATTCAAAGTCAATAAACGCTGCCCCTGCGGGGGTGGGCCTCGTCTCACAGCAGTTCGTTCACTTGCTTCATGTGCTTCACCAAGTCGGCGCACACCATGTCCATCTCGTCGGTGTCCTTTAGGCTGGAGTTGCTGATCGTGTGGGAGCCGTTCTGGCTCGTCCCCTGGTACAGGTACGTCTGCCCGAGGCTCGATTTAAACATCCTCAAGAATCTGGTCTTGAACGCGGAACTGCACCCGGGTCCCCGCTTGCCGCCGCCTCCCCCCGTCGCCCTGGCGTCGTTTCTCGCGAGCAGGGCGTGGCTGTGTTCGATCTTCGACGAGCTGAAACTCGTCTCGGACGTTTGGGGGCTCAGCCTTGACGTCGAGTTAGAGGAAATTTTCGTTTCTGCTGTTCGCTGCTTCCCGCCTAAAAAATCCGCCTTCTTGGTCAGCCTTACCGAGTACGGTTGGCGGTACTGACTGTTCCTGGTCGGGTGACAGAAGTTGTGGAACGTTTTCTGAAAAAATCAAAGTCACTTGTTTCGGCCGGTCTATTTACTTGGTTAAAAACGGATACAAAATCTTGTTTTTAAAATTTTATGAACGAGCAGTTTTAAAATAAAGGAAGTAGTTTCAGAAAAGTTAACGACGTGTATGTACTATTTACCTGTTTACCGGCACAAATAAACAACACACACAACGTAAACTTACTGTTTGGGTCTGGCAAAAAAAAACAATATACCATTGTTATCGGAATATTCGTACATACGAGGTGTGCTACATAGATTTTTTTTTGTTATGTTGGTACACATCTTCCTAACATATGTTAATTACATATGTTCAAAGAATTTGCATAAATAGGAATACAGTGCTGCAAAATACTTGAAATGTTGACAACGACAATATGGTGAATTCATTTGAGCAAAAAAAAAATGTTTATAAGTGGCACAAGCTATTCCAAGATGGCCGAAAAGACGTCGATGACGAACCTCGCTCTAAACACCCCAGCACGTCAATAACTGATGAAAGTGTCGAAGAAGTGAAACAAATGGTCTTGAAAAATCGTCGAATGGCTATTAGGCAAGTAGCTGAAGACGTCGGCATCTCTATTAGCTCGTCCCATACAATTTTTTCGGAAGTTTTGGGAATGAAACGTGTAGCAGCAACATTTGTTCCGAAACTGCTTAATTTTGAACAAAAGGACCGTCGACGGAGCATCGCTTAAGAGCTATTAAAAGACGTCAATGATGATCCTGTTATGCTGAAAAAGGTCAATGAACGGTGACGAATCGTGACATCGAAACCAAAGCCCGGTCGTTCCAATGGGAGAACCCAGAATCGCCAAGACGGAAAAAAGTACATCAAGTTCGATCAAATGTCAAATATTTGCTTACTGTTATTGTGGCGTAATACATCAAGAGTTCTTACTGCATGTGCATTTTGCGAAAAGAAAAAGCAATACGAAGAAAACGTACGGAATTGTGGGACAAGAATTCATGGATTTTGCATCACGATAATGTACCTGCTCGCTCATCGTTGCTTGTGTCTAACTTTTTGGCCAAAAACAAAACCACAATTATGCCTCAGCCACCATATTCACCGGATATGGCCCCTGCGACTTTTTCCTGTTCCCAAAACTCAAGAAACCCATGAAAGGAAGGTGGTTTGGAACGATTGAGGATATAAAGGAAAAATCGCTTTAAGTACTCAAGACCATACCAGAAAGTGCTAGCCAGAAGTACCACGAATATTGGAAAAAACGTTGGCATAAATGTTTTATTTCTGAACGGGATTACCTTGAAGGGGACAACGGTAATTTTGATAAATAAATACTTTTTGATGAAACTTAACACACCTCGTATACATATATACTCGGAAATAAATTGTTTTTTTTTCAATTATTCTTAAAAATTGTGTGTGTGATTTTTTTTTTCAAAAATTGTTCATTCTATATATACGTATACATATATTATACATTAAACAAGTATTTTTTTCAATTAAAGGCTCGAGCTGCTCAAATTTATTTTCTAGGCATTTACCTTAGTCCACTCCTGAGCTAAATATGTTTCTATGTTTCAAGGATTTTAACGGGCTCCTTAGTTAGTGGTCATCATAGTACATTTTTATTAAATTATATCAAGCATTTTAAAACCAATTTTTGTTCTAAAACGGCATGTTTCGACCGGTATATACTGCAATTTAAACTGTATCGGGTATAAATTGCGTCAAATTCGACGGGCATCAAATTAATTTGCAGTCCATAATTGGACTATAAAAATTACTTTTATTGAGCCATTTTGGCGCAGTTTATGTGCGCCCGACCTTTGACGGCGATGGCCGTGTCGGTTTTCGTATATCCGAACCTTTTTCTTTGTATTTTCGCTCCACTTTCAGCTGTATAAATGACCGGAAAAATACGGCGTCGGGGAATTTCGAAAAATAACGACGGATCGTATTCCGCGTACTACTTAATATTTGGCCCATTAATATATAATTTTGCAAAACATATCAAAGAGTAAAATAAACTATAAAAAAGTGAAAAAATAAATATTATTTCAAATTAATCCGTTTAAGGCTAACGTAAATGAAAAATGGGATCTGTATAGCACTTTGAAGTGACTGTATTGATAATAGATTATACTACAAAATCGAACAACATGGTACACCTCCGTGATGTCTGAATGTAAATAATGTTTTGAATGGCAGTGGCAAGTGTCGAGAAATTAGTAGAGAGAAGAGCAGATGTAAGGTGATTTAATTCTGGGTTCAGTGAGTTACGTTGAAATAGTTTTACGGCTCTGTAAACAAGAGAGTTAATAACCGATGATTTTTGGTCCGGATGGTGATGTGACAATGCATTAATGTATCGGTGCGCGCGCATAGGTTTGATTTTCTTTTGAGAAGAATATCTAAGAATGGGAGGTTATTGTTAGTTTCTAATTCAGAGTGTTGGAGGGTTCCTTGACCATGAGGCCAAATAACAGAAGTATCGTCAACGTAGTGTCTTTATAATTTTGGTTTGGATGGAATGTGTCAAGAACTTTCTTCTCAAAGCCTTCTACAAATGTCTGGCCGTTAACTCTTATGTCAGCCTTCTGGTTTAAGTATAAGTTGGGTATTATGCGAATGCCCCGACGGTCCAGGCCTATATTGTTCAGTATAGCTATTAATTTATCATGCTGAACAGTATCAAATGCCTTTTCGTAATCTACGAAGCAGGCATGTACATCAACGTTCACACCCAGACACCTTGTATCTTGTACCTTGTATCAAAACCAATTTTTAAACCAAATTGAGACATACCAATGTTTTCTTCGCATTTCATGTATATTCTGGAGTGAATGATTTACAAGAACAACTTCAATACATGGCTCATTAAACTGATGGTTCGATAATCTTGCAATACCAGCAGTTAGCTTTCTTTGGCAGAGCAACGAAAGTTGATCTGAGCCACTCTTTAGGAATAACAGAAATATGAAAGCACCATCTTCCTCCAACGTTTTTATGACCCCAATCTGTATTTCGTCTGGTCCTGGTGAGAATAAAGGCATTTTTAAAGTATCCGAATCGAGTAGTAACCCCCCTGTATAGCGAGTAGACCATATTTGCATAGACGATAAATATCAGGCCCGTATGTTACAATAAACTCTTTAATCGATATGCTCGGACGTTGGACAAATGTCCCTAATTTATAATTTTGTTGCCATGTAAAACGAAATTGCAGTTAATTATGAGGGGCACGTGGCTATTACCTGTAAACTAAAATGGTTCGGAACTGAAAGTTTGCTTCCGGATACGTACAATTCGCAACTTCATAAACTCGCTATTCGAAACCGAACTAAAGTTATTACGATTACAGCCCCTACAAAAGTCAAAAAAAGTTGCAATAACGAAAATACAATGCAGACAATTTTGCCTTTTGTATGGAATTATCCTTTTTTACTATTATTTTGGTTGTTATTTATTTATGCTTATTATTAGATACTGTTAAAACAGGTATATAATGGAAACCAAAAAATAAAGCACTTTTTTTAAATTGCAACCCAATTCTGTGGTTTTTCTCTTGTAAAAATTAATATTGGCTTCTTGGGTATCGGTATTGCGTAAAGTCTTACTTTCTCCATTAAATCCTAACGGACTATTAGAATATACACGACAAATTTATGATAAATCTGTGGACGACTGAAACCGAATTCGCATTTAAAGTAAATAAAAATAAAACTAAGGGGAATAGCAATTTGCGTGCGGGAGAATTCTTCCGGATTATTCCGGAAAATCCTTCGCCGTGGGGTAGACTACGCGATGAAAAGTAGGTCAACGTATATAGGTTGGTTAGTTTTGCTTGAAGTCGCATCACATCCAAGGAGTTGCTTTTTTTAGAAGAATGTTTAATTAAAAATCATTTTAAGTTTAGTGTTAAGTGCAGCTTAACACGTAGGCTTTATTCCCTGCTTGACGCCGCACTAAAAAGAGAACAAAAAGACCTGGGGGGACTTGTGCGTTGTAAACCTGCAAAATAGTATAGATATCGGGCAGGTCCAGCACAGGCGTGTCTTAAATTTGCATAATATCCTGAAGAAACCTCTCACCGTGCTCATCTGCACCGAGATTTTCGGGAAAGAAATCTGCATGGGAGTCCAAAAACTGAATTTTCAGTGACATATTGCATCTTTATAAGCGGAAAGAAGATCTCGAATGATTTGTCGCTAGTCGTCAGCTTTAGTATTCACAAAAAAATTATGACACATATTCACAAAAGCCACCCAAGCTCCAAAAATTCCTTCTTTCAATTTTGCGTCACTGATTCGAGGAAATTTTGTTTTGAAATATTGAAAGCCTGCACCATCCTTATTCATAGCTTTTACGAGGGCAGCGCCAAAATTTCCCGGCCTGAATATGAAAGAAACAAACTAGAGTAACATTTTTTTATTATTTTTCAATATAATCCCCCTTAACTTCAATACACTTATTACATCTCTTCATAAACAACGCAATCCCTTTAAAAAAAATTCTTTTGTTTTATCTGCAAAATGAGCTAAAACTGCCTCTTTTAACTCAATTTCGTCGTTAAACCGTCGTTCACGTAAGTCCTTTGTCAAATAACCAAACAAATAATAGTCGCTGGGAGCCATATCTGGACTATAGGGAGGATGATCTATCTATTGGAACCCACACTCTAAAGTGGCAACTTGTGCAACACCAGCAGTATTTACAGGTGCATTATCGTGTAAAAGACGCACGCCTCTGGTCAGTTTTCCTCGACGTTTTACAAATATGCAGTCTCGCATTGAGAGTGGTATTAATTTCTTTAAAATCTATCAAAAGAATTCCTTCACAATCCCAAAAGATCGTGGCCATCACATTTTTTGTTGACTGGCAGACTCTGAATTTTCTTGGAGGCGCTTCCCCTTACGACGCCACTCCATCGATTCTTTTTTCGATAGAGGGTCCATAGTTTCATCTCCCGTCACAATAGTTTCTATCACAGGCTTCGGTTCCGACCCACAGAGTTCCAAAA